TCCCATTCTTCTCATGAACTAACTTATGCTGGGTACTAGATCTTCCTTTACTTCCTGGAACTCTGGCACAAGTTGCTAGGACATGTGATCATGCACATCCTCTCAGGTGAGAAAAATGCCTTTCCCTGAGATCTCATGAGATTACAGATGAGATTTCCTAGCAATATTCTGCTGATGTAACCCCCCAGGATGCATTACTTGGGCACATTAAATCATTTGTGCCAAAGTGGACCAAGAAGTGGGAAAAAAAGTAATTGTAAGTAAAATGAAAAATGTTTGTTTAAGCAATGTAAGATGATTACATTCCTTAGTTAAACAGAGGTTCTGATGAAAGGGGCATGCCCAGGAAACGCGATAACCTTCGCATCTACAGCTGATGTCGGTGTCCATTAACTCCGACTGAGCAGTGTGACAATTGTCTGAATTTGTTACCAATCCCCATTTATCCCTGGAATCAATCAATCATTGTATAATATCTTTTTGTTGTTAAGCTGTTAACCCCTTATTGACCAAGGCTTTTTTTTTGTTTTTTGCACTCATGTTATAATCCACATTTTAGGCCTGAAAATTACTTCAAACCCCCAAACATTATATATTTTCTGAAAGCCAAGACCCTATAGAATAAAATGGTGGCAGTTGCAAATGTTAATGTTGCATGATATTAGCGCAACATATTATCAGACCCAAGAATTTTGTGAAAGATGAACTTAAGTTAAATTTAGTGCCCCACAACACAATAAAAAACTATTTTTTTTCAAATATAAAAGATGAGGTTACAACGAGTATATAGATACCAAACAGGCCCAGGTAAAACATTGTGTGCGTCTATGAAATGGTGGCAAAATGTAGTACCCCAAAAGTCCATAGACAACGCTTCAAACGCGTCATCAGTTTTGAGATACGCATAAATTTTGGCCCTAGAATTAATGCTCTCACTCTGGCGTACGCGGCAATACCCAAAATGTGTAGAGCGATAATCGTTTTCGTGCATAGGCGCGCCTGACGCGTGTTTAGGTTATGACGCACGGGGGACTTTAAACATTTTTTACAATGATTTTTTTCATTACACCTAATATAATTTTCAAAAACTTTTTTTTTTTTTTACTTTAATTGATATCACATAGGCGGGCTTACAAGCCCCCCATGTGATAGAACATTGGTGGTGACAGGTCCTTTTTAAGGTGATACTGGGGGTCCAAAAGACCCCCAGTATCACTTTAACTCTCTAAGCAAGCTATTGAAGTGCAGATCGCACTTCAATAGCTTATGACTGGGCTCAGCTATGGGACCGGAAGTGATGCAATACGAGTCGCTCCCGGTCCCATAGAATGGGGAGGAGAGCGGTGAACTGAGGTTTGCCGCTCTCCTCACCAGCTTCCCAACGTCACCCAAGATGCCTGTCCCGGGCCAGTATGAGGGGGAGCGAAGCCCAGGAAACATGGCTGGGGCTCGTGGTTTACCGGCCTGGAGAAGAGATCTGGCAACAGCTGAGTCACCAGAATCGCTTCTATTGTAAAGCCGACGTCTTTAGCCGCCAGGAGTCTGTTAAATTGGGTCCAGTGCCATTGACGTACTATGGACACACTGGTCACTAAGGGGTTAATAAATATTAACAGGTACTGCAAAGGGTGGGCACTATTTTGTGTTTATTTTAAATGTATGGATGAGAGCTTTACAATCTGAGGAGGAGCAACCTTTTTGTGCTAGAACGTCTAATCTAGGCCTGAAGTATTTGACAAACAGTTTGTTTTCCCCCTTGCCTAAGAAACCACAACGGAAAAGTTGATTGGTTACCAAGTTGGAAAAATAAACTGTTCCCACGTCAGGCACTTTGTGTATGATGTCCAGAATGATCTGTTATGATGTCATGTTTCTAATAGATCTATGTAAAGAGGGTCATCTCCAGTGGGGGTGTACAATGAAGGTTCGGCCAGGAGAAGAAGACTTTCGCCGCAGGATGTGTACTGAGGCTGGGCCCATCAGAACACATTATTCTGTTCGTAGGGAGGGAGTGGTGATGTTACCTCTACAGAGTCTAAAAAGAAAAGGGCACTTTTGTTTTAAAGTGTTTTTATCCTTTATCTCATAGCCCAAGGGATATAATAGACATCATGCTGTCCTAGGCACATCTGAATCATAGTGCCCTATTGTATGCACTCTGCCCCTTGTGTTGTGTTGTGTTATGTAATTTTACAAATAACAAACACTGTTGCTAGAATGCATATTTGGAGGAAGCATGCAGAAAGGCTATTCAATTGTACAAACCACCAAAAACGAAGAAGAGATGTCCAGAGGTGGTCAGAAATATGAAACAAAATAAATTCTGAGGCTTGGTGCTGTTCCTTCTATTCCCAGTGCCTGTGAGTGAGCTAGAATACAACCTTGAATAGGTTTTACAGCCGTTTGAAAACTGGAAGACCAAAGAGAGGTCCAAAAGGTTAAAACCTGGTGTTCCTCAAGCTGGCCATACATCAAACATAACTCAAATGTTGACTGATTCCTACTGAAAAGGCTTAAATTGAGCTCTGAATGGGACTGTCGGCACACCTGACTGGACAAAAGTCAATGTAACAATCGGAAGAGCCAACTGTCTGAATATTATAACCACCAGTGGAAATTAGACTATCCACGCTGTTTAATTTGGATGGCAGTCAATCAATTGATTTCTCTAGTCAAGCCCAGTGGCTGAAGGAGTGAACTATAAGTATCCATGGCCAGCTTTAGTTTGGAGTTTTTGATAAGTGAATGTAATCAACTTAATTTATGCATAAATGGTTGCATGTATCATTGCTGTTTGCTGATTTCTGCAATTATACGAAATGTGTGCATGAGACTGTACATCATACTGGTTATACACGATTCCTATAAATTGTTAAGACCCTAGAGGCATAATAAAAGTTGTGGGAAGTCATTAAGGTTCATGTCCCCTGCAGCATGAAACCTGCTATACACCCTGAGTGGCTTGTTACCCTCTCACAGATGTAGCTCCCTGAAGAGATTTACTACTTTATAGTACATACAGATAGGTGAGACCTCTACAAATGTATGTGATATATCATTGTAAAAAATATGACAAGTACGGTATATATAAAGCTCCAAAAATTATTTTACATAATGCTACTGCATGCGTGTAATTTCGATCATACACCATGCAATAGGAGTGTACAACCTCCTTTATATCCATCATCAACTACATAATACTGAATGGATTTTTCAGGTTTCTCCTTTTATTACATAGTTTTGGTAAATTAAAAAAAAATCATGAATAATTTGTTCAGTGCATTGGTTCCGAACATTTTCTATGCCCCACACTCCTAGGAAATGTTTGATTTAATGTTCATTCCGCGTTCCTCAGTCCTTCTCATTATATATGGGGAAGTCAGTGACAAAGAGTGAGGCATTTGATTGGCTGGATAAAGCAGGGATAAGCACAGGATTGGCCAAGTGAATTCAAGTGACAGAGGGAGTAACGGTGCATGTGAGCCAAGGTGAAAGACGACCTGAGAGGCTCGGAGGGATGAAATAATTAATCATTTCTCACCATTGTGAATTGATGAGTGAAACGATGTACTATGGTTTGTTGCGTTTATGATGATTTTAAAAGCAATATTCGGACAGTCACTTACTTTACATATATGTTAATTTAGTTGTTCTCTCATTTTGTTGAAATAAACATCAAGCCTACTATCTATGCAACGCAACCGCCTACTACCAGTGCTGAAGGCTCACTGGCAGCTAGCTGACTGATAACTCGCGATTCTTCATGAAGTCCCTATTCGCACCCCTACGTCCTGTGAACACGCTTCAAACATGCTTTGACGCACGTTCATGGAATGTGTCAAAAACGTGCAATGCACTTGTGGTGCCGTTACTTAATAATGGCACCCCAAATGCGGCTGTGAAAGTGTGTGGTTTTTCCCGTACATTTGCGTGCAGTAAAACGCACTCCAACACGCGGGGAAAAAAACTTGGGACACCTGTAGCAGAATCTGTTACATAAGCTACTTTCCTGCATTTGTTGCGCATGTGGCACCAATTGAAATCAATCAGCAAACATGGGGAAAAATGCGTGCAAGTGCGAAGCACGTTCCCAGTATGCCTACCGTAGGTCTGAACAGGGGCTAAGGGACACGAGCCAAACTGTCATACCCCCTGAAATTCCATCATGCACTCCAGGTTAGGAACTCCTGGTATAGTGTATGGCCATCTTATAAGGGAGACAAAGAGATAGTCTAGTTGCTAAGCCTTTTCTTCAACAGTTGTAGAGAGCAGAACATAACAGTATAAAGAGAACAGGAATGCTATTATAGGATTCCTTATTTGAAATACTCTACCTTGAAAATGATATTTTTGTAAATTACCATAATTGTATCATTTTAGAACTGTGAATGTTGTGTAGGTGGGACACTCATTCACACGTTAAGACACAGTTATGATGTGTGACATGGATCTGCTTTGTTACCTTTAATTGGGTGAAACCAGCAAGCACAGAGCTGTAGTATCTATTTGTAAAGGAGCTATATACCTCCCTTAATGAAGGCTGTCATTTTACCTTGTAGCCACCCAGATTTAATTTTCAATAGAGGCAAGAAAGCAGACTAAAACGGTTTACTACAAAATAATGTGTTTTTACTATCTCAAGCGTTAAGTATTGATTCTTTTCCCTAAGTGTCTTTAAAATAGTGCCTAGCATTACCCCTGCTGACTCTGCGGCCTTCTTGTTATTATTTTTTTTTCTTCAGTCCCCCTTCTCTGCTGCCATCTCATCAGGAAAATCAGGCTGGCAATTAGAGGCAAAGCTGCCTGGAGGACTGGAGAAATGAGATTGTGGATAAGTGGGGAAGGAGGGGGTTGTTACTCTGATTAATGGCAGTTTGTTAGCAGGTCTCATTCCTTGTGCTTGCGCTCCCTTGCACATGAAAAATAAGCCAGTAACAATTGTTAGACAGAGGGAGACGGCTGAAATGTATCTTGGGTAATGAACTTGCTTTTAATCTTAGGTAAGGACCCTTGCAAGGACTGATGAGGCCAGAGGTCTGCTGTGGTTGCTGGAGGAAGAGGCCTTGCAGCCCGGTGGAAATGAGGACACCTTATTGGATCGGCTATTTACTTACTATGGCCCACAGGAAGGAGAGGAGCCTGGTAATACACCTTAATTTTTTATTCATTCGTTTTTAGTATATAGACTAGCAGTGAACAATTTAAAGAGTGGTCATATGTTAACACACAGCTTTACTATGTGCATGTGATCAATTTAATGTAGAAATGTTTATGGCTTTTTTTAATATATACATGGCGGTGGCCTTGGTTTTTATAGTTGATCACACGCTGTGCTCCCTACCTAGTACTGTTCAGTGCTTGTGCTTTATAGTTGCTCACTTTGGAGAGAGTGAATACAAAACGCTGTATGTGCTGTAAGAGATTTTATGTCAACGCTCATTCAGCAGAGATACTCCCTATGCTGCCTGCTACACAGTTAGCCACCAGGGGGAGGATCAATATAAAAGTATAATGAAATACAATTATTAAAGTATACATGCATAATTGTAACATCATGTTACAATGCAGCAAAGTTTATCTCTGGGAAAGAAATCCTAATTTATTTTTTATGCAAAAGACAAAATACTGTTATTTTTACTGATATTTCTAAATTAATGCTCCTATTAAATATTTCTTGGCATAGAATATTTCTGCACTAGAAATTCATTGTTATATGTTGCACATTTTAATTGCATGGGTATTAAAAAAAACAAAAGTGTTTTACAGGGGCTAAACCTTAATGGCTATTTTTCAGTATTTATGCTAATGATAAAAGTCCTATTTTTATCCAAGCCTGGTTTTCAGTTGGTAAATCACTTTTGTGAACCACAATCTTTTGTTATGTTATGAGTTCTATTTATTATCTAGTGCTGTATGTATAGAATATATTAGTCACACATCTGACCAATTAATACATGAGGAAGGAATTGATAAGCAAAACTGAAACAAAACCGTAATCGAGCAAAATGTCAAGCCGAAACCGAAAATGTTTTTTTACTTTATAAACTTTAAAAAATTTTGATTATTTTTTAAAATTCATTTTTTATTAAATATTTTTTTTTTTTACTTTTAGGAGCTTCGGGGAAATATTAGGGATGTAAACAGCCCCCTGATATTTCCCTTTTAAAATAGAAAAAGAGATTGAGGACACAGAGTCCTCAATCTCTTTTTCTGCATCCCCTGTTATAAATGAACAGGAATCCTCTATACCGAGTGTTCCTGTTCATTCATAACATGAGGACAGAGTATGTTTACTATAACCACAATCATGAATGAGCAGGAGGTGATGTAGAGCACTTCCCGTTCATTCATAATTGAGGATATAGTAAACATACCATGTCCTCAATTATATACAAACACTCAGCGATCACTGAGTGTTTGTTTGTACCGCTCTCCTTCCTGACAGCTGTCACAGGAGGCTGAGCGAGCAGGGCTCAGCCTCCAGTGACAGCGCTGGCTGTCTCGGCCCACACACTGCTCTGCGGATCTGTGACAGGAGGCTGAGTGGTGTGGGAGGAGAGATGCCGGCCGCTCACAGCGCTCTCCTCCTAAAGCGCTCGGCCGCCTACGACAGTTTCTCTCCTCCCCGCTAGTGCACCGAGCAGCACCCAGCGGGGAAGAGAGAAAAAAAGATGCACCACTGTATCGGTCAGAAAATGCCACTTTTGGCATTATGCCAAAAGTCCCTATTTTGGATGATATGTTTTGGCGGCCGATATATTGGTGCATCTAGGGCTGCAATAACTAATCGACATAATCGATTATAATCGATTATTGAAAAAGTTGTCAACTTTTTAATTGTCTTCAGTGATGAGCACTTCTGGAGATGACAAGCACGTCAAGAAAGACAGCTGAAGCTGTATGCAAATTGTGAGCTTCCTGTGGAAAGGGTGCTTAGCATTGTCGTAAACCTTCTACCACCTTCTCAGACTCAATATTGGTCCTTTAAAGAGACCCTGTCGCCAAACAATTCATTTTAACCAAAATCTTCCCATAATGTGCACTCAATTAACACGCTATAGTATTCCTCCTCCCACACTTTCTACATTAAAGGTTATGTAGGGAGGTGAAGGAAGAGTGTGGGACCAGCACATACAGTAAATAGTCACTCCCAGAAGATGACATGCAAGAAGGAAGGGGGCTGTGCTAGGGAATTCACTAGTCTTGTTTTCCCAGCATGTTTGAAGGCACATTGCAAGGGAATTAATACATTATTGATGAAAAGAAAAGCACTACAAATAAGCATTTAAATTACCTATTTTTTTCCTTGCTTTTACCTGCACTATTTTTAAATTGGTGACCGGTTTTCTTTAAAGTTCTACTAGTATTGGATTAACCTGACATCCAGGGAACTAGCATTTTTAGAAGGAGATGGCAGCAGCGGCAGCCTTCCTACTTTCTCGGCTTAGGGCACGGGGCCCCTATACGTACCCCTGTGTTCGATACCTATCACCATGAATCATGCTGCTGTTTACTTATAGGGGCTGTGGAAAGAGAAGACTCCTCCATGTTACTGACTGAGCTGACCCCTGTCAAAGAGCGAATTTCAAGTTCCTTGGAAATTCCCATTTTAATACAATCAGAGGACACTTTGTAAAACTGAGTCTGATTTTGGGTGTTTTACTTAAAACTGGCGATTGTACATTTATTGTAGAAAAGATAAGTTATTACTTAGTCGTACGTGGTGATTTTAATTAAACTGGAGCTGCTTTAATTTGGCAATGAAAATTGAGAGCAGCTCTTATTCAGATTTAAATGTGCTGTTTTTATTGGTTTTTCAATTAGAGGGTATAGATTTGTTGATCATTAAACAAAATATGTCAATTAGTTGACGATCACCAAAGGCTTAAGTATTCCTGTCTGTAGATGTTAAAGTGGTGGGGATGTAACCCTTTAGAGCTCTTGGTTTTCTAAGAAAATGAGGAGGAAAATTAATTTTAAGGTCAGTGTTTTTTTTTTTTTTTTTGTTAAAAAATGTTTGAGACATATGTGGTATAGAGTTCATGTCTTTAAAACCTAGCTGTCCTCACAACCTCTTCAAAGCGAGCAAGTCAGTAATTGGTATTTGTTATAATCATCATCGCTACTCTAGGTTCTTTATAAAACTGCAGCCATAGTCCTTGCCACAGATTTAGAGATTGGTTAGACATGCATGCACAATTTTTCTGAATCTGACCTGAACAAGTTGTACACTTAGATTTAAAATATCAGCTTGAGTCTTTTGCACTGGTTGCGTGCTCCAGGGGAAAAAAAAATCAGGACATTTACTGCAATACACGCATATTTCCCTATTTTCTTATCCCTAAAAGACCCTGCAAGTACAGAAATGTACCTGTGGATCTGCCAGGAATGCAGTCAGTAAGTCCTGTTGTGGGTGTACTGGCAACACACAGCCTTTTTGTGAACCAGTTTTCTCTTCCCAAACTACTCAGACTCACATATTCTCTCATCACAACATGAACGCTAATCATTCTGTAGTCCTTCGTTAAAAACTGGGAGGGCTAATTACTCTCCTTGAGATAACACACGAACTGAGCAATAAGCACAGTTCACTGAACATTGAATATAACAGATATAACAAAATGCTTTCAATGGTGTATTTAACAGACAGTGAGCAGTAAGAGAAGTTCATTGTTGGAGTTTATATACACTTCAAGTGAACCTGTGCCTAGATCATACACAATAAAATATTTATGTATGCTGAGCGAGTAGTTAAAGCATTTTATAACAAGTCCATATTTACCTCTGTAACTATAAGCATCATGGCACAGTTTTATTTTTAAAGTTCACAACACAGTTATTAAAGCTGCAGCATTATCTCTGATAGCAGATCTCGGTAGCCTGCCAGCCCTCTAATGTAAACAACCAGCAGGTGTTTCTAAGTTTTAAAACTTGCTGTATTCTTGGCCCAAATTCAAGCCATGGGTGGCCTTGCCAACACCGTGTGGCTCAACCAAATGTGATTAGAAAATTATTATTTTTTTTTACTATGGCATTTGCAGGTGCCGCCTGCAAGAATACGATAGATGGCAGGATAGATTGGTCCATCCATGCTGTTAAGAGTGGATAGGGGAAATCAAGTGATTTCTTTAGTTTAGCCCCCTGGACTGATTGAGAGAAATGTTTGTTTATGTGTATGGCCAACTTTAGGAACCAACTGAAACTGACTTTAGAGTCTTTGTTGTGATCTTTGAGAATGAATAACGTCAAAATAAAATACCTATAGTGGTAAGGATTGGCTTGCGTTAAAGTTCTTTTACTGCTTTGTTACGAATATGTAAATAGTTTAATCTGCATAGTCTGAGAAATGGACCACACAACAACTGAATTATTTAACTTAAATTTGTGTGATGTGGTGCATTCATTTTTTTTCCCCATTGTTTTCTTTATCCCTAACCCCATGATGGCCATAGAGAACAAGCGGCCCTTTAAAATACCAGTTTGAGAAGCTCTGAGGTCTGTGGCCACACACATTGCATGACTGTCAGGTTACTATCTCATACCTTTTTAGGAAGCTTTAGACAATCCCAGCCAAGAAATCTTGGGAAAGGAAATGGTCATACGTGTTTGAAAAAGCTGGCTATGGGACAGTGTGAACTGTATTCAGCTGTTCTTCCCCCCTACCTACTCCATAGGATGAAGAGGAACACTTATGCGACCCAAGCTTTTTATTTATGGCTGCAGCTGGGCCAGAAAACCTTACCAGGCAGTCAGATCATGCTTGCCCATACATCTGGTCTTTCTATAGCCAAATGTCAGAGCAGTAGTGGCAGACCATAAAGATAAATAATGAGACAAATGACTATCTGACCACTAAGGCTACATCACTGTAATAACTTACAGGTAATGTAATGTGTAATTACAAGTGCCCATTAATGACTGGTTCTCTTTAATTTAGCCTGTTGAAAGATGACAGCAGAGCACTTCCTACACTCGTTATTGGTTGTAAAAGGGAGTAAAGGTTTGATTTCCTCATATTGCACAGGGGAACAGCAGGTCTTTATTTCCTCCTTGTCATAATTTGATTTGACTTTAGTCCTAGAGTATTATCACATGATCTACCTGGAGGAATATGCTGACTGTCACTGATGAATGATCTGCGATTCTTTTGGCTGGGTATCATCCCTCTGGATAGTGGCAGCAGCTGGAGTCTGTGGTGCATGGAGTCACATTTATGCTGCAGTGTAAAGCATGGCATTTCCACAAAGCTTGAAACCATTAAGTGCTTCTGCTAGGAGTCTGGGGCCTCATTTATCATTGTCAGAAGGCGGAACTGTACTTTTTTGCCTCCAGCCACCAACCAGATTCTCTTGTTCATTTTAAAGCATTCACTAACAAATATGATGGATTTCCTGAACATACTTTAAAGTGGTTTTGTACATCGTTTGGTCTTTATTATTGTATGGACCAATAAAGAAAAAAAAAATCATTTTTTTTCCTGTCAAATATTACATTTTGTATATAAATATTTAACATTTTCTTTTTTTGAGCCGCCAGATGGAGCTTTAGGCTCCAATTTACTTTTTCAGGCATTTAGATTTCTGTAAAGCATGTTGTTTTCAGAACTCAGTAGCTAAATTTACACATACAACTCAATGACTTATCCCTTCTTGGAGTTCTCGGTCTAAATGTTTATTTAGACCGTTAAACAAAGGGGAGACTGCTGTGCTGTCTATTAAGCCTAAGCTATAGTGCTCTGGGAATCATTTGTCATTTATTAAATGTTCATTTATGAAACAAAGATAGTATATAGCTGGTGGACAAAACAGTCTGAAAAGCTTATAAACTTAAATGAAAGGATCCATAGCCTTTTTTTTTTAAGCTTATAAATAAAATTAACTTTATATTTTATCAGCTGTCAGTGAATACATGAGCTGACCTGCCACAGATAGGGATACACCGATACCAGTTTTTTGGTATCAAGTAAGAGTACCGATATTTATCTTTTCTGGACTCGCCAATACCGATAACTGTATTTCCAGGAGCATGGAGCCAGAAGGTCATTATCCGCCACCCGGCTCCCTGAGTTGGCCGGGAAGCTGGCTCTATGTTCCCTTGCAGCACTGCCGGTCAGAAATCTCCCTCTGACCGGAAGTTCTGGTAACGGGGGGGTAAGTATCTGAGCATTTGGGTGAATACTCTGTATCGGCACCAATACTAAAATCGGTGCATCCCTCGCCACAGATAGTTATTTTACCCAATTAATGTTCAGTTACATAACCACTGCATTCCCTAATGTTATTTAATACAAATGTTTTTTACAGTATTCTTCTCAAGCAATTCTAAAGTGTCATAAGTATTTCTGATGAGGTTAAAATATGATTGTTTTTAGGTAAGAAACCCTTGCTCCGAAGCAGTAAAGAACGCCATTTCCTGCTGGGACACAGCTACGGAACCAATTGGGTGGAGTATAATGCCTCTGGCTGGTTGAACTATGTGAAACAGAACCCTGCCTCTCAAAATGCTGCTTCTTTATTGCAAGACTCACAAAAGTTAGTTTCATGACTTCAATTGATTTATTTATCCTGAATTTGTCTTGGACCATGCCGTACTGTATGTGTCTTCACCATGATACTGTCCCTGACTTGGGTGATGTGCTGTCATCATTGGAACTCGCAAATCAAAATGTGTTTAATCAGTACTCACCTTTAAGGTAGAAGGTTGCTTTTTACAAGCTAAATTATACATTGTAGCTTTCATTGTTGTTATTATTATAAATTAGGATTGATATAGCTGCAACAGTTTGCAAAATGCTTTAAAATATAAAGGCACACAGTATAGTTGCAATAGAATTCAATGCAAAGTGGTTAGGAGGGCCCTGCTTGTGAGAGCTTACATTCTAAAAGGGAGGAGAAAGTAATACAAAACATAATAATAACTGTGTTAGGGATGAGTTGCTGGAGAACTGGAGATAGGCTTGTCCAAAGGGATGAGTTTTCAGGGATTGTCTAAAGGCGAACAGAGTAGGAGATAGTCGAATAAATTGATGATCAGGATTAGCACAGGCATGCTGGGTATGAACATGGTTGAAAAAATACATTCAGACAAAAGCCAGAGACCTACTGACCTCTATGCAGGGACTAAGGAAACAAACTGTTGATCAAGTACGGGCTTGGAAATAAGGCCTCACTTTAAAGTCCACTAATGAAGGAAGGTGAGAGCAGGAGCACACAGCTAAAGGTTCAAAGTCCTTTAGTTATCAATTTTACTAAAATAAATAAAATATTTTTCACAGCATACAAAGCTCAATCACATGCAGTTTTTTTTTTGCTCTTTAAAGTAGATCTTCACCTAGAATGTAATATTTGGAGCCTGTGTATAAAATGCTATATAGATCTGCAGCACTGACTGAGCACTGTGAAATGTTATTGACAGTCTCTTCTTATTGTACACGTTGCAATGTCAGTAGTTCTCCCTGTGACGTTAATGAGGGGCAACTTAACAATACTGATGGTCATAAGTGGTGTGAACAGTGGTGGGTGGAATTCACCAGAGAGTCTTCCTACTGGGGATCTCACCTTCATGCACAAGAATCATTTTATTTTAACTTCTTGCATAGTTGTCAATAGATCTAGACTTTCCAAAACTACCCTTGGGCAACCACTGGTATTACTGTTCTCACGAATACCAGTAGAAACATGGCAGTTTCCATGAAATATTCATTTATTTATGAGAGAATTAGCATGGGGCCTGTTTTAACCCGGAACTGAACCCAGGAATATTGGCAGAGATGAGATGGAGAACTCTTATCGCTGTCTTCTTGCTGTTGTGCCTTCAGTCATGTTTTAATGTTATGCATTACTAACAGTATGCCTTTTACTTCCCTGCAGGAAAATAATTAGCAGCTTATTTGCTGGTAGAACAGGCACAGCGCTAGTCTTGTCAGGTTCAGTGGCTGGTCTAGAAGGAGGATCCCAGCTGGCCCTGCGGAGAGCCACCAGCATGAGAAAGACATTCACTACAGGCGTGGCAGCTGTCAAGAAGAAATCTCTATGTATCCAAATTAAACTTCAAGTGGTGAGTGAAAGTAAACTTGGGAACATCTTCCTACTAAACATACCTGCACATAAAAGTACACTTTTCACACATTGTTTATATGAAACCTGCAGATTACTGACAGCTTTAGGATGCTCATGCACCCATCTATTGTCTTATTCATAAGAAAAAGGTGTCATAAAAATAATAATACATTTATGATATAGTCTTTGATGAATTACTAATTCTTTTATATGCATTTACCTGCAATTTATTTCATGGTTTTTATCTTGTGCTTGCTGGTCACTCAGGGTTAAAGCTATACCCCAGACATATACAAAAGACTCAGTTTTGGGTTATTCAAAGGACATGTGCCTTTTTTTTAATCCAACTTGCTATGTAACTAAATGAATGTCGCTAAGCTAATTATTATTAAAGCTGTAAATGCATTAAAACCCCCCCCCCCAAAAAAAAATGTGTTTGAATTTGATTTTGCACTAGCCTCCTGCAGTTCCCTATATAGCACTCAAGGGAGAGAGTAAGGTAGGGCTGATTGTCAATCAGTTGTGCTGCATGCAAATGTACTTACAAGGAACATGCTGATAAATGTAAAGATCAGGGTAAGTAGATTATTATTATTATTTATTTTATTATTATTTAAGTAGAGAACTGACCTTACCAGTCTACTGCTTCTCATTCTCTGCTCAGGCACTTAGTTCTATTTCAAAATACAAGAATAGTTTTTTGTTAATAGTACATCATTGGATTTTAAATGTACAACTTCTCAATTAACTACTACTTGCAGTGAATATACAACACAGACCATGCTATGCTCGAAGTAGCAGATACAAGACAAACACAGTAGATGTTTAATTCTTTATATTTTGAGGTTAGGAAGCCACATAAACCTCTAATATTTTATTTTTGCAGGATGCTCTTATTGACACTATTAAGAGGTCGAAAACCCACTTTGTCTACTGCTTTGTGCCCAAAGTAGCAGCATTTAACAGTGAGACACGACTGGTCCCGGCTCACCGAGTTGGTTCCAGCGAGTCAGATTTATCTGGGGAGCGATGTGACGCAGAGCTTATGCAGGTTGACGTCCCACTTTTGCGTGCTCAGCTTCGGGGTTCACGGCTTATGGATGCTCTACACATGTACAGACAAGGTAAGTGCAATCAGTCCTGACAGCTAAATATTATATGATTCCAAAACACAATTTTTTAAATATATTATGGACTTTTATTCTTGTTTAAAATATAGCTTTTCTTAGTTTATTGTGGCGTTGAATGCCAACCAAATATCTATCAGTTATGGCAAGAATACAGACAAACATATATGCTTACTGGTTTACCTGCCAAAGTAGTAACTCTCTATAAGGCCAGTCTTGTGTTTTAAACAAATCTGCCAAATGTGTGAAACAGGAAAAGGGGAGACAATATCCAAAACCGCAACACGGACAACTTTAAAACAATGTTTACAATCAAGCAGGCAAGGGTTACATCCAATGTCAGCTTTTGATTGCTTTTTCTGTCCTCGATTCACCTCAAAGTCACAGTAACTGTTTTCAGACCAAACAGGAAGTGAGGGATTATTTCCCAATGGGGGTGCAGACAGCATTTAAAGCTTGTCAGAGGTTCTAAGTCTTTCCTACACTATCAAAAGCTAAATAAAAACACTGTAGGTTGGAGTAGATCTTTATTACCGTAAAGAAGATTATGTTTCAGATGCATTAGGTGTATTTCTACGTTTTTAGTCAAATTTGAGAAAATCCCTCTCGGTTTGTGTTCCCATTCACACAGCATAAGGAAAATAGCTTTAAAAATATTTCTTACCTTTTTAGATGTTTTTGTTACAGCAGGCAAGTTTTTCTTTCACAATGATCTGTCCTTGTATAAACACATAGGACTGAAATTTTGAGGATTATATTCCTCTGATAAACTTCATTAAGATACAATGGACAAGCCACCTCAAACCCCTCACAGGCCCTCCTAACATTTCAAAGAAAGAACAGCAAAAAAAAAATTGTAACCATTAAAACCCTAGCCCAAGTAAAAGCAATCTAAGCCACTTTTTTTTAGCTTATGCTATGTGAAAAAGGAACATAAGACAAATCTAAAATACTGTAGGTGTTATCCCAATTTGGCTGCGAAAGTGGAAATTACACTTTAAAATAACCTAGGAAGCCACGGACCTCAAAAGGCTCCTGCGTTTCTCTGATATTACAAATATGCACGCAGTGAACATAGATTGTCCACTGAATCAGTACAATAAATGGATCCTAAGTAATACTAGGTTTATCAAGCATAAACTATCAAAATAGTTGACATTTATTGTCATAGGTTTCAAGGATTTAGAGTTTGTCTGCCTAGTCTAAATGCTAGTGCTAAGAACATCAGAAGGCTAAGGGAATGGGTGATTTATATATTCCTTTGTTGGTAATGCAGAGATGAGCCAGGGCCTTGCATTTGAGCATTTTGCAAGTACCCAATGCAAGCCTATAATTATAAGTATTGTGTTGGGTATCCTTAGGTCTGTGTCTTAAGTTTTCAGTTTTTCAAGATCAAAACTAAAAAGAAAACTAAGTTATCACATCTAAAAAAAATGTGTCTCTTATTGACTCTGCTCTTTGCTGTAACCTCTAACACTAACCAGTAAACGTAACCCCTAACCTCAACCCAAGCCACATCCTTCTGTAACTTTATCCCCTGAAGATTAACCTTAACGTAACAATTACCTTAACTTTCACTATCGGAGTGATAAAGGTTTTTATTTTCCTTGTGATAAATTACAGCACCACTAGCGGTGAAAATGCTATTCTGTAGAAAAAGATATAGGACATTTTGTCCGCATACCAAGTTATTGTGACAAAAAAAAAACTTGTGCAAAAACGTTAAGCCAATATTAAATGATTTGCCCATGAATCCACTTTTCATACTGATAGCGAGGATACTGGTCAATAACTGTTTGGGCAGCCACTGCATTCCATCTCAGCTTGTTATTGGATTAAATGGACAGGTACTCAGAGTAGTTTGGGCCACATACATATATGACACGTATAAACAAGTAGGTATTTTCTTTTGGGAGATCACCCACCAGTTATTGTTAATGTGGGATGAGAATCTTTAACTAATGTGGTTGTTCCTACAAGTTGTTAAGAAGCCTATACATATGACAACCTCACTCTTCTGGTTCAGCTGTGCACCTTCCTGGGTCACTGAGTTGAACAAATGTGCTAAGTCTAGGGAATTGTCCAGTAAGACTGTTGGAGGTGCAGAAGTGACAAACGAAGATGTAAAGCCAAATAAATATCCTCATCCTGGCTGTGCACAGTGGCAGAGGTGTGTGTCAAGCAAAACAATACACACACGCACTCAACAATTTGTTACCAGTTATACAGTAAGGTGCACACGAAATGGGCTTTGAAATTTGCAAGGAAGGAATTGCATTTAGTTGCAAGTAGGATTTGATCACTTATATTGGTTTCGTTTGTGGTATAAATATAGCACGTATCACAATACCAAGCGCAGCACACTGGTTCACAAGTTGTTTTACATGCTGGTTTGTGAGTGTGCCATGATGCCTTTCTACTGTTCTAGAGGTGTGTGTCAGTCACATGATAAACAGTTCAAATACATGTATTTGAGCTGTCTCACTCATGGAGTTCACCACTCTTCCCTCCCATTACACCCCACACTTAAAGAAGAACTCTTTTTTTTCTTCTCTTCAAATTAACCCTTGCAGTGGCACTACCCCCCACACTGCAAGATCACAGTATGATATAAGGTTACATTTGGAGGGGATTCCTTGTGTGCGGCCATTGTGCTGCAAACTGATGCATTTCAACTGTGTTTAGTTGTTTGATCTAAGTTCAGCGCTCAATCACATACATGTAGGCGTTTTGCTCATTATGTTAAAGGGAAACAAAAACTGAATAAATGAACTCTCCCCTCCCCACATCCAGTTCTACTGGACCCAAGTGAAAGTATGATAGCTTGCCACGACTACGGCCCAGTAGGGCTTAAACATGAAAGCACGTATTGCTTTTATAGACTGCACAGTAGGAAATAGAGATACATTTGGAAGAATTTCCTTGTGTGTTGCCATGCCGCTGTAGAAACTCCAAAATATCACCAGCACTCCAATGAGTATATTCAACAAATTTTAATGACAACGGTCATTCAAAATCACAAGTACTTTTGGGGCCACGCAGGGTCCCCGTCATCAGGCTCAGAAAGTACTTGTGATTTTGAATGACCGCTGTCATTAAAATTTGTTGAATTTACTCATTGGAGTGCTGGTGACATTTTGGAGTTTCTATATGGTTTCACGGTGCCTCCGCGGTCGCTGCAAGCACCCAAATACTGACATCTCCTAGAAGATCCGGTAAGGAGTGCAGTAAGATATACAATTTTTTGCCGTGCTGCTGTAAACTGGTGTGTATCCTTGGACCATTAGATTGTGGCTTAGCACCATGGTGGGGAAGGAAGAACTCCAGGATTTTTTCAAATTAATCTTTGCAGTGGGGCTACCTCCGTGCTGCACTTTTGTTAATAGTTAAGGTACTTGACTGTAAAGTGCATAAAAGCAACACCTGCTTACATGTAAGCAGGTGTTGCTTTTATGCACTTTACAGTATATGCACTTTACAGTATATGCATTTCACAGTTATGATATAAGGTTACATTTGGAGGGGATTCATTGTGTGCGGCCATTGTGCTGCAAACTGATGCATTTCAGCTGTGTTTTAGTTGATTGATCTAAGTTCAGCGCTCAATCACATACATGTAGGCGTTTTGCTCATTATGTTAAAGGGAAACAAAAACTGAATAAATGAACTCTCCCCTCCCCACCAAAAAGAAAAAAGAAAATCAATTCACATCTCAGCAATGAAATCAATGCCAACCCCCTTCTGAGTTGGTGTTGAATGTGGCACCAGTCAATAGAGAGAGACAACTTAGCAGAGAGAAAAGATGCGACCGGGTCTCACTAGTCAATTGAAGTGGAATTCACAAACAATTGCTAGCAGAAGCTGCTTTTTCAATAACCAGCTCAGTGTTTGATTTAATTACATATATACAATCACATTCAGTGCCTCGATCTCACGTATAATTGAATTCCGTTTGTTTTCACTGTATGTTTCTAGACACTAAACATTCACCCAAACATGACCCGGACAGCGTTCCGCCTTGTTAAATTATTGTTTTCAGGCCTTTGCATAGGTAAAACAAGTAACAACAGACTTTCACAGAAAATTACCCTTAGAATGAACTTGGAAAATAACACTTTTCAGCAAGGTATTCTTCCTTTTGTGAAAAAAAAGAAAATCAATAGGTCAACTTTTCTGACTTCCTAAAAGAGACTAGAAAATGTAATAAATTAAGTTTGCTCTGTACACTGTTCAGTGTTACTGCACTTAGCGTTCACTAAGCCATATGGGGGATGATACACAAACATTTTACAAGCTTTGAATGCTACTAAACTCAGGAGTTAAATCTTAAAAGTGTATTCAAGTAACTTAACTATTAACAAAAATGTATCTTATTTGTGTATCACTCGGCTGTAGATTCTCAAATCATCTCTGAATTGGTGCCGACACCTTCCTTCTGGAGGGTGGCTACTTTTGTTCCCCATGGTCCCTGTGTGTGTTGTAAAGTAGACACCGCTCCAAGCTAATTCCCGTGATGGAATACAATCTTGCGTTTAGTTTACTAATTTGTATCGAGATTGTATTCCATTATGGGAGTGAGCTTGGAGCGGTGGCTACTTTACAACACATACAGGGACCATGGGGAACAAAAGTAGCCACCCTCCAGAAGGAAGGACAGTGTCAGCACCAATTCAGAGATTTTAGGATCTGCAGCCGAGTGATACACAAATAAGATACACTTTTGTTAATAGTTAAGGTACTTGAATATATTTTTAAGATTTAACTGCTGAGTTTAGTATCACTTTAACCTTTCCTTTGAGATTGTGAATACTCACAAGCAGGGCCCTCATCAACCTGCTTGTCTTTAATTATTTTGGAACTCTACTGTCTTCCTTTATTTTGTAAAGCACTGTGTAAACTGTTGGTGCTATATAAATCCTGTATAATATTATTTTTGTAGTAGTAACACTCAACGTCCAGTATGGTAAGCTGTTGTTTGCAGCAGATTTCCACAGGGTAGCATGATTGTAGAGGAGATGTGTTCCGAAATGTGGCACTGGATTGCCCTTGACTTCTTTTTCTTTCTGTTTGTGCAGGATACCCAGATCACATGGTATTCTGTGAGTTCCGACGCAGGTTTGACATCTTGGTTCCTCAACTGACCAAAAAGCATGGCCGCAATTACATTGTGACCGACGAGAAAAGGGTAAGTGTGTATACATGTGTGTTTTATTATTAGTTCTGTGTAGACATTCATGCTTCTAGAATGTCACATTTACAAATTTCATAGTTCAGTATCACAAAAACATAAAATATGATAGAGATGCACTAGTTGGATGCTTAGAAAGCTAGACACAGTGTAATTCAGGGGACTTGGAGTAAACGGATTTGTGCTTGTTATGTTAAAGCTCCTGGTACTATGTACCTAAAACTCAAATAGAACATTAATGTTGTTAATGCAAACATATTTAAGAACTACTATTGCAAAGCAATATTGTATGCTGATAACGGCGTGTGGTTAATGCATGTTAGTCTTTTATAGGACCAATTTACAAAGCTTAGTGTCATGAGAGTAGAATTTAATTAATCTCTTCTTATTTTACCATCTTTTATTTTGCTTGCTGAAACATGCAATTCGCAAATCGTCATTGTGTACTCCGTTTAATGTGTAATACATGTGCGTTAAGCTGGTGTTTTTTTTTGTTTGTTTTTGTTTTTTCTTTTTAACATCACAGACTTTATTTTATCTTTTACTGAGATAAAATAAAGAATTGGGTGTTATTTTAATACTTTTGTAAAGTAAACTCTCTGTTATCCGGTATTCAGCTATCCAGAACTCTCATCTAACCAGAGATAAGAGTGTATACTCCCTGATCTGCGGCATGTATTATCCTGGAAATGATCCTGTGCCTATTTGTTTTTGGTTTTGATTACTGCATTTAAGTATTACGTATAGTATGAAGTCAATGCAGAGTTTGTTATGGTATGCTATAGTAAGGGGTAGAGCATTAGTTAGACCTTTTTTTAATAGTAACTCTCAAGCAACCAGAAACTACATTTATCCAGAATGTACCAACCCCAGTGGATGCCGGATAACAGGGAGTTTACTGTAGTAAATCTTGGTGGCAGAAGAGGTGGAGCAGATGCTCTGTAGATGACTGTTTTACTTTCACTTACATCACAAAGGATTCCTCATATGAGGAATATCTTTGCCACGTGTGTGCTCATTTTAACAATCTCCCCATTGTAGGGGAGAAATCATCATTAATAGAAATATTAGTTTTTCTGAGCATAATGAATATATGAATTATTAGGTGAATTTATGATCCTGATGAGCATGAGCCAAGCTCCGCCTGGGACCTCCCCGATTACAGGCGTGATCATAGATTGCCTCGAACGCTGTCATTTTGTGCAGACATTCTTCTTCTCTTTAACTTTGTTATGGGGAAGAGATCGAACTCTGGTGGGGCGTTGCACCCAGTGACCAGGAATAGAAGTTACAGGGTGCTTGAAAGTAATGTTATACAAACAAATTTGCAGTTAAAGAAAAACCACCCGGCTGGAACTTCGTTCATGCTCATCAGGATCAGTTATTACCCAATAACATCAAAATATATCGTTTTTATAGTGTTTAAAGTACCTCTCAGTTTGGCACTAGAGATAAAACAATGCCTTTCTACTGTAGATATTTGCATTTTCCCTTATGAGCACCTGGACTGACTCATCACATTGTCCCTGACAACATCCATCTACAGATGACCTGTGAATGTGGCACATTTGAGAGGAATACCTAATTCCTTCATGTTGCTAGGAAAGGGAGCAGTTGTGCCCAGATGTTTTCCAGTGTGATGGAAACCCTCTGTGTTTGATGCATTTCCAATGGTCAAATATATCCCTCATCAACCTCTAAGGGAAGCCCTACCCTGCCCAGTGGTCTCCTGATTTTATTTTTGTTTTTGTTTTCAAGAAAATCAAAAATGTGTTGCATCCTCTCGAATTATTAGGCCATGTGTGTCCATTCTGAAACAAGGATGCATGGACTCACCATATCTGACTCTGGCGCAGCAGAGTAAAAGGAGAAAACCTTATACCCCAATTATAAAAACTGGATGGTTATATACCAGTACATTTGTATTTTTTATCACTATTTCTGTCATATCATGGAAAAACTTTGTGCTGTTCAGTGATGTCTCTCCGATTTTAGTGATTTTCAGCTTGTGGCAGGTAATGCTCTAAAAGAAAACACAGGTTTTTGCCTCTGGTATTACTGGCTCCAGGCCGAATGTTTCTGAATTGAATTTCTATAGTAAATGATAAGGATGTCCCGTTCCACTTTCATGTCTTTCTCTGCAACTCGTGTGGTGACAATTGAATTTCACAGCAGAGGCACTTCGCTGTGGTGACTATGAATACAGAGGGCTTGCCAGGAGAGAATTTAGCATGAGGCTGGGCCAAGACTTGTTCTGTGGATGATCAGGAAAAAACAGTGTGCTCACTATTCTGCAGACATATGTCGAATGTTACGTTGATGCTGCAAGCTGTGAAATTATAAAAGCACCTTATCAGCTACCTCTGTCTTCATATTACTCTTGTTCTACATTGTAGAACTTTTGAAGTTATGTTTTATTTTTTCAGGGTTTTAGAGCCATCAGCTCATCAACTAAATGTTAACCCAATCACTAAAATCTACTATATGCTTTAAATTCTTAAGAAAGAACTCCGGGGAAAATTATTATTTACCCTTGCAGTTTCCTTTTTATTTCTTAGACAATTTGAATACACAAATGAAGGTAACTGCTTGTTTGTTAATAGTGACTTCAGTACTTTTCATGTTGTCTGCCTTATTAGAGGCTCTGGAGAAAGGTGTTTTGTAATAAAAAGAGGCAAAGTCGTATTTTACAGTTTACCAATCAAAGGTTTTAGTACTGCCCGAGTCACTGGGGATAAAGCAACTCTGTATTTTTAATGCATGACTAACTTAACTTGTGATTAGAGATGCATCACTGGAAACGGAGGCTATAATTCATGTTTGTAACATAAATAGTACATGCAGTGGAGATCAGCCTCTGAGCCATTCCATTCGTGTGTTTTATATTTTACAATATTCTTGATCATGTTTAAATTATTGAGCAGTGTATGATACAGTGCTGCATTACGATCACCAATGGCATTCACAAAAGAGCCCAGAACAGAAGGAAAGGTAAGAAATGGACACAAGAACCAGTACAGGTGGATTGAAATTAAGTTAAAATAGACATGAGCAAAAACAAGAGGCGAGGTAGGGAACGCAAAGATCCTCAATGGATAAAGCAGTAGCAAGGAGATCCTTGAACGTAGGTCCTCAGGTACAGCTTTCTGTCAAGTCAGCCCTCAGAAGAACAATGAGCGGCACAATAGTGACTCCATATCTCCTGAGAATAGCAGTCATCAGAGGCAGGAGTAGGCAGAAAATGTCTGAGATGATCACACACTGTAGATATACAGCTATAAGAAGAAAGGAAGAGGGGTGGCACAGTCACATGTCAGAGAATGCACTGCTATATTCCCGGAGGCTTTGAAGATAAAAAGTACACACATTAGGGGACTGTTTAGTCCCAGTTAAAGGAGAATAATGGGGAGAGTGAAATACACTCATCCCAATAATTAGAGCCGACGTATGACACTGAACCTGTCACACGTCGGCTCTATTGATCGAGAACTGATCACATACTGCCAATCGCTCAGTTCCCGATCATTTCCCTGCAGACAGCGGTGATTGTCAGTCACCTCTCTCTGCAGGGATTCCCCCTCCCCTATTCGTTCCTCCTGTGCTGACTGAGAGGCAGAGCCAGCTGTCAATCAGGTAGCGGGGTGGATCGCGAAAATTTTGGCCAGATCTGTCCTGGCTGCAGTGTCTCTGCACATTCAACATATAGCGGGCATTAGCTGAGCTTTGGGTCACAGGAGCACATTGGTATATGTCCTCCTGTGACGCTAAAGAGAGCTATGGCAAAAAAGGTGGGCTATAGTTCTCTTTTAACCTTCATTAGATGTTTCCTATAAGATAGGAAATCTTTACTTTTATGATTTATAGGTTCACATTAAATTTCCTATAGCCTCATTTAGATAACTTGTATGTTACAGGGTGGTAGTTTTGTGTCTTTTGGTAGCATAAGCCAGATTTACCCTTAAAGTAATCAAACCCTTAGTAGATTTTATCATCCATTGAATGGTTTATTATTGTGTAGAATCCACCCTGAAACCCGTGGTTAACCAGCATCCTCGATAAAGAGCCAATAATAACGTTTTTACAGGGAATTAGATGAGCTGTGCCCCAAGCTGCTGTCTCAGCCGGCAGAACAATGCGTTCAGCAGAACAACAATATAGAAATGCTAAATGTAGCAGCACTCAACATCTTGTATAATTGCACAACCCATGAAATTGTCACCTGAGCATCTGTACAGCTCAATGCCATTTATTGTGTTGTGGAAAAACTCGGCTTTTCTTCGCTGTTTAGCATTAAATGTCACCCCGAGACTCCAGAAACTGACAGCATGTTTGCTAGAGCCGACTCCTCATGTAATATGCACCACCTGTGCGTGCCTGATCGCCGTTGGGAATTCAATCCGGGGTTTAGCTTGTTTGTTTAACAAAGCCAACAGTAATAGAAAAATACGAGTAAAGCACAGGGACAGCTATGATGTGTCTGTCCGTGCGCTGCCATGACTGCTAATTCTTCTAGGAAGCCAAAGATGCCTTTAAGGGCTGCTGGGAGGAGAATGTCTGGATCACCCATGGGACCTAGACAAAATACAATTTGCTCATGGGCCATTCTAAACTATGTGGGCCCTATGCATAAAAAGCTGAAGGAATCCAAACTGCTTGTGTTACCCACAGCAACCAGTCATTATGGCATTTTTCTATAGCAGGTTGGAAAATGAAAACAAGCTTCTCTATCGCTACAAATAAACCCCTTCCTGTATTTTTTTTTTAACTTAGTTTTAGATATAGCAATTAAAAACAGCAACCTTATGTAAATCCTCATCCTTGTCAGTATGTTAAATAGCAGTGACACATACCTGTTGGAAGCCATATATTCTTATTAAGCATCCATGCTCTGCCCTCTTCTTAGTAGGGCTGCACAGTAGGGATGCACCGATACCAGTTTTTCGATATTTGTTTTTTTTTTTTTGGTACATACCAATACCGGAAGTCCCATTAAGGAA